AGGATATAACATATGTTTTACTCCTATTTGAGGGGTTTTCTTAAATTTGAAAGAAAACAAAACAAAATAGTTTTCTCACATTTTCCCCACTAAAATGCAGGGATTTGATTTTTCTTCCTTTTAGTAATCTCATTTTCTTTTCCTTTTCCTTTCACTTTTATTTTCTTTTGCTCTCTAACCAAACAAAAAAAGGTTTTCCTTCTCATTTTTTTCTTTTCCCTCTCAGATTCTTAGAGCCAAATATAATAATGTTTGGGATCGGGACAAAATGAAACAAATTTGGAACATCTTGTTTTATTATTGTCTGAAATTACATGTAAAAATATAAAACACGTAAGAAGAAGGTAACTTACTTTAAATTGCAGAGTAACAAAAAGAAATGAAATATCTACTTAGAATATCTTAAAAAAAGCAAAAAACAATAAGATAAAATTAAAAAAAGATACATGGCTTGGGATGTGTACTCTTGCAAGATGGCAAGGTCGTGGCATACACATCAAGACAATTGAAGCCCCATGAGTGTAACTACCCCACTAATGACCTCAAATTAGCAATAGTTGTATTTGCTCTAAAGATATGGTGTCACTAACTCTTTAGAGAAACGACATATATTCACATAGACCACAAAAGTCTAAAATGCGAGTTGACTCAAAAAGAGTTAAACATGAGGCAAAGAAGATGGCTGGAACTAATTAAAGATTATAACTGTTACATCGACTACCATCCTAGTAAAGTTAACGTAGTAGTTGATGCGTTAAGTTGAAAGATGGTAACAGAACTTCGAATTCAACAAACTCTCAATTCAAGAACAAAATCCATACCGCATAGAAATGTGATGAGTACTGTCTGAATACTAGTGAACTTGTCTCTAAGGGGAAGAGACAAGACTTCACTGTGAATGATGGAGTTTTATTTTATCGTGATCGTTTGATAGTTTCTAGTGGCGAAATGAGAGAACATTTAATGCGTGAATCTCACAAAACCTTGTTTACCATGCATCTCGGTAGTAACAAAATGTTCCAAGATTTGAAACAGATGTATTGGTGGCCCACGATGAAGCGGGAATTTTGGAATTTACGACCTAATGTCTAACATGTCAACAAGTCAAACCTGAACACCAAGTTCCAAATGGATTGGTACACGCGCCTACCATTCCTGAATGGAAGTAGGAACAAATTATGATGGACTTTCTAATCGTACTTCCATGGTCAGTCAAGAAAAATGATGTTGTCTGGGTAATCATTGACCGATTAACCAAGTCATCTCATTTTATTTCGATCTGATGTGATACGTCATTGAAAAAGTTTGGAGAGTTGTATATCTATGAGATCGTAAGATTACACGATGTGCCTTTATCTATTGATCGTGACCCATGTTTCACGTCACAAATCTAGAAAAGTCTACAGAAAGCGCTAGGTACCAATTTAAATTCAACTTTAGTACAACATTCCACCCACAAATGGATGGGCCATCTGAAAGAAAAATCAAAATTCTAGAAGACATGATGAGAGCATGTGTGATCGATTTTGGAAGCAACTAGGAACAATACTTACCGCTAATGGAGTTCACTTATAACAATAGTTATCAAGCAAATATTCAAATGATCCGTACGAAGACCTATATGAAAGACATTGTAGAACCCTAGTATATTGGACCGAATTGAGTGAACAAAAGCTTGAAGAACCTGATCTTGTCTGAGAAACGGAAGAAAAAGTTTACGTGATCAAAGAAAGACTATAAGTGGCTTCTAATCGACAGAAATCTTATGCCGACCTGAAACGTCGTGATATTGAATACAATGTGGATGACAACGTGTTTCTAAAAGTGTCACCGTGGAAGAAAGTGTTGCAGTTTGGTAGGAAAGGAAAACTGAGTCCAAGGTATATTTGACCTTATCGAATCATTGAACGTGTGGTTCCAGTAGCCTATCGGTTAGAACTTCCACCTGAACTGAACAAGATTCATGATGTATTCCATGTGTCAATGCTAAAATTATATCGTTTTGATCCATTGCACATCTTAACCGATGGAGCTCTAACCCTTGATGAAAGGTTGACCTATGAAGAAGAACAAGTCCAATTTCTGGCACGAGAAGTCAAGGAACTAAGAAAAAAATCTATCCCTCTAGTCAAAGTACTATGGAGAAATTACTCGACTCAAGAAGCAACTTGGGAAAGTGAAGAATTGATGACGACACAATATCTGAATCTTTTCAATCAATGACTCAGGTAATTTCGAGGACGAAATTATTTTAATGGGGAGAGAAATGCAACGCCCGAAATATAGGCCTATTAGAATTAACTAATTGATAATTAATTAATTACTGAGAAAGACCCAAAAATAAGTGATTTCTAAAATTTGTCAATAAATAATGAAAATTATAACGTTATGTAGAGTTTGACTGTCTGACCACAACGGTTCAATCAGATTTCAATTCAGAGAAAGTTCGACCAAAAAGTATACCCCGACTGGAACCAAAATTAGTTACAAACACGGACTTGCATTTAAAATCCGTAGGGATCGCCGTTTGCTCCACTCAGCCGTTAAACACAGGAATCGGACACCATCACCCATGGCTTCTTCCTCTACTCCTCCACTATATAAACACCTCAAAACCTTCACCATTTTCACCATTCTTTTTCCAAAAGAGAGTTGTGAGTGTAGAGAGTATTGTAGTACTGTCAATTGTGAAGTCACTGGAGCTAACCACAAACGTCACCGGAAGTTTAACCAGAAAATTCTCAAAACCTTCATTAAGCTTCGAAGTAAGCCCGTAAGTATATCAAGTGACTAGAATATTTGTATAGATTGTTTCTGCGTTCATGAACAATCGTTTGGTTGAGTTTTGTGTTTGAAATGCTTGGAGAATTAAGAATCATAAACCTTGAAATTGTTGTTAAAACTACGAACTAATGATACCAAAATGATCTATGAACCTTGGAGAACATTATTATATAGTTTAATTGAAATTTGGTGATTTAAAATGATATTTTCGAAAATTGGCCCGAGGTTGAAGATGACATTGTACAAAACTACCCGCAGAACGGTGGCCTGCTACCGTCCTACCACCAGGGCAATAGGCCGTATTGTCAGGATGGTAGGCTAGCTACTTTCTCCATAGTAGAATTTGGTTCTCTCTTGCAGTACTTGATACCAAACGGTACCCTGTATTGTTTGGGCGGTACCGAGGTACCATACCGCACTACCAAAGTACCTTTAGGGGTACCGTCAGTCCCGAGAAAATTTCAGAAACTTGATTTTTGAACCATTAAATCCTATTTTTGATACCAATCAATTATGACCAATATGAATATGAATAAAAATGATGTTTGATAAATACAAGCACTTTGTTTGATGCATGATGGTAAGTTAGGTTGTTAACACTCGAAGCTAGGCTGCTATTTGCTATTGAATATTATGTTGGTTGATGATTATGATGAATTCTTATTATGGATGATTATGAATGATGAACCTACTGATTAAAATGATTATTGTTAATAATTGAACTATGGCTAAAATGAATACATTGATGATTATGAAATGATTTGTATTGTTAAAGATATCTAGAAAAACTCTAGGATATACCATTTGGAAATTAATGATAATTATTAAGGATATCTAGAAGAACTTTAAGATATATCCATATTGATATTAGTTTCTAATACTATCTAGAAGATCTCTAAGATAGATTAGGATAAATATTCAGTGGCCGGCCTAGGTAAAAACGTATGTACGGGATCCGCAAACCAAACTTGAGGATCACTTGTTTGGGGATACCACCCAATACGACAATGAGTATTTTGTTGTTCGATTTTTAGTTGACCTTAAGCAAACGTAAGTTTAAAATTTTGAAAACCTTTTTGAAAATTTGTATCTTAAACTAGGCATAGTTTGATGATTGGATAGAAGTACCTTAAACTAGAATATAGTTTGAGAAATGATTAGAAGTATTTTAAACTAGAATTCGTTTAAGAGTTGGTTAAAGAGATTGGCCTTAGACTAAGAATAGTTTAATGATATTATTGAATGTTGAATATAAATGTTGAATATTAAACGATGAATATTGGATATCGATTATTGAATATCTGTACTGTACATTATGTTCATGATATCAAATGAATTGATTATGAATTGAGTTTCAATTTATATGGATGTTCGGCGCATTAGATATGCTTACTCAGCTTTACCGCTGAACGTGTAGTATGTTTTATTTGCTACACGCAGGTAAACAAAAAGAATGAAGCAATGATTTCCTGGAGGCAGATGAGGCGAGATGGTCGGAATGGATGTGTGGATTTGAATTACTATTTTAAAGGACATAAATTTGTTATGTTTGTGATTGTGGTTTATTGAGCTTCCGCAATTTTAAATACTCCGTTATTATTCTAAATAAATTATTATAAAATAAAGTTTTAAAAGTTTGAAATATTTTGAATGTTTTAGGAATAGAAAGTTTATACTTTAGTCCGAAAGAAGCTGCAGACCTGGATGGATTAAGGTGTTACACCCCTCCATTACCAAATATTTTGGCATGTAATATAAAAAAGAAATAAATAAATAAAAACGAATGCTTATGGAAGAGGTTGTGTTTATTTTGGGTACACTTTTGGTGTCTTATTTGGCTATTTATTTCTCCCTTTGTCCCACAACACAATACTCATTTTGATGTATTTTTGGTCATACGATTACACGCTTTAACCATAAATTAAATATAATTCAAGTAAAGGAATGTTATATTATAATTTAATACATTTTTAATACATTTAAAAATTTATATTATAATTTAAGATGAATTCAATTATATTAAATTTATATTATAATTTAATACATTTTTCTTACAATTTGTAATGAAAGCATGTAACTATTTGACCAAATAATATTCAAAATAGGTAAGGTTTTGTTGGGAGAATATTATAGGTGTAGACATGAGTAATGGGTTTTAGCCCATTTTTCTAACCTAGTAGAGAAATAAAGATAACTCGTGCCGCGTTCAAATCCCTAAGCTCTAATTCAATTTCCACTTCGGACTCTGCATTCGCAATTCCGGACTAGAGAAAACGCGACATCAAATCATGGCCAGGGAAGACGCCCTCTAGAGACGAGGAATCGCTTACAGAGAAGATGACCAGAGTAAACTCTGTAACGTCGAATCCTTCCAAAGTTTCCGCGACACCGAATCCTATCTCTCTGTTCTAGACTAGAGAAGGCGACGCAGCTAAGTAAGGTCTCCGGCCGCGAATTTAGGCGGTTGAAGTTAGAGGGCGAAGGTAATAAACGAATCATATGTTAGGCTTTGAGTAAAGTTTATCTTCAATTGCGTTAATTGTTTGATTTTTCCCAAAGATCCAAAACAGGTTTTTTTCGTTCTGAAAATTTTATAATTTATGACCTGGATTTCTTCTTCTGCGGGTTTGTTTAAGAAATAATCTGCTCGTGTTTGACATTAGAGTATTTACTGAAATAGCATCCGATTTTAGCATGTTAGATTCAGTTTTAGACTGTCTTCTGTTGGCTTTAGCATAATTTCTAGAAAGAACTCTTAGAAATTTAATCCGGTAAGGATTTAAAATTTCCTTTGGGGTTAATTTCAAATTCATTTCATGGGGCGTTTGGTTATGGAGGCAATTGAATAGGCACTTGGTTGCTATAAAACAATGGTAAATCCTTCCTGTGACAAAAAATTTTCTTATTGTTACTGCAATGTTGAGATTCTTTTGATCCTATGTTTAATGTTTACATGAGTATAATATTGTTTATTATGACATCTAATTGTTGAGGTACTTTGTTTTAAATTCATAAGTATATATATAAATGCAACGATTATCAAGTTTCTTGTGCACACTTTCCTGACTGATTTTGCACTTATTTTGTAGTGAAACTCGGTGTATTCTTGGTTTTGTTCGTTGGTTTTTCTTTTTAAAATGGAGGAACCAAAGCATAAGTTGTCTAAGCGCCCAGACACTGAAAAGGAGGTGGAGGAGCCTCGGCGGAAGAGCCACCATGACCGGGATGATTACCACGGCCATGAAAAAGAGAGGAATGGGGAGAGGCACAAGGATAGAGACAGGAAACACTACCGTGATAAGGATTCCCATGGTAAGGAAAAAAATGTTGAGGAAAAGTATAGGGAGAGAGACAGGGATAGGGAGAAGGAGAAGCACAAAGATAAACATAATGAGAAAGAGCTGGAAAAGAGCTGCAGAGACAAGGCTGCTAAAGATAGTGAAAAGGATAGGTCTGACCAAGAGGGTGCCAGAAAAAAGAAAGATAGAGAGAGGGATCCTGAAAGAGAGAATGAGAAGGTCAGGGATCATGAAAGAGAGAAAGAAAAGGTCAGGGATCTTGAGCGAGAGAAAGAAAAGCAGAGGTACCGGGAGAAGGAGAGTGAGAAGGAGAGGGATCGGGAGATAGGGAAAGAAAGGGAGAAAGAATGTGGAAGAGAAAGGGAGAGAAAGAAAGAAAAGGAGTGGAATCGGGAACGAGAGAGGAGGGAGAGAGATAAGAGGGACATAAATAGGGAGGAGAGAAAAAAGAACATGGAGAAGAGACTTAGAGAAAAAGAGAAGAGCCACAGTTATAGCAGTGACGATGATAATCATTTTGGTGCTGATGTAAGAGATCGTGATAGAAAGAGGAGGATTGAGCATGATCACAAAAGCAGGGATCCCGAAAGAAGCAAGAAATCTAAGAAGCTCATTGAAGAAAGTGAAGATGGTAACCCACCGAAAAGAAGTGAAGGATCACTAGAAAAGAAACAGAAAAATCTAGAAGAAGAACAAGTTGAGGAACACAGGAAACTGGAAGATGAGATGGAGAAACGAAGAAGGAGAGTTCAAGAGTGGCAAGAGTTGAGAAGAAAAAAGGAGGAGTCAGATAGAGAAAAGCTTGGAGTTGGAGTTGCAGCAATTACTGAAGAACCTAAGTCAGGCAAGACATGGACATTGGAAGGAGAATCAGATGATGAAGATGCTGCATGTGAGGAAAGACAAGGAGTTGATATGGATGTAGATGGACCTGCTAAGCATTTGGATGGAGATGGAGGTGCCCTAGTCACTAATGATGTTTCTGATTTAAAAGTTGCGCAGAATGGAGGTAGTGCTATGGATGATGAAGATATAGATCCTCTAGATGCATACATGAATGGTATTGTGTTGCCCGAAGTTGAAAAGCTTAACACTGTTGCAACTTCATTTGAAGGTATGGAGCGTGGTGTAGAAGATGAAAATGTCATGAGCAACAAAGAGAAGGGCATGAGAAAAGCAACAGGAAGAATCATACCTGGTGAAAATTCTGATTCAGATCTTGATGAAGTTAAGAATGATGAAGATCATTTAGAGGATGAAGATGATGAAGAATTTATGAAACGCGTGAAGAAGACCAAGGCTGAGAAACTTTCTATTGTTGACCACTCAAAAATTGATTATCCTTCTTTTAGAAAGAACTTTTATATTGAAGTGAGGGAAATTTCAAGAATGACATCAGAAGAGGTGGCCAACTATAGAAAGCAATTGGAGTTGAAGATTCATGGAAAGGATATACCAAAGCCAGTTAAAACATGGTATCAGACTGGATTGTCCACTAAGATATTGGATACAATAAAGAAACTTAATTATGAAAGGCCAATGCCAATCCAGGTTCAGTCTTTGCCAGTAATCATGAGCGGTCGAGATTGTATTGGTATCGCAAAGACGGGTTCTGGAAAGACGTTAGCTTTTGTGTTGCCAATGTTGAGACATATTAAGGATCAGCCACCACTTGCTCCCGGAGATGGACCTATTGGACTTGTCATGGCTCCTACAAGAGAGCTTGTGCAGCAAATACATAGTGATATAAGAAAGTTTTCGAAGGTTGTAGGTCTTAGCTGTGTTCCTGTGTATGGAGGTTCAGGTGTTGCTCAGCAAATTAGCGAGTTGAAACGAGGAGCGGAGATTGTTGTTTGTACTCCAGGCAGGATGATTGACATTCTTTGTACTAGTGGGGGAAAAATAACAAATCTACGAAGAGTCACATATTTGGTCATGGATGAAGCTGACCGAATGTTTGATATGGGCTTTGAACCTCAGATAACAAGAATTGTTCAAAATACTCGCCCAGACCGCCAAACTGTATTGTTTTCTGCTACTTTTCCTCGTCAGGTTGAGGCGTTGGCGCGTAAAGTGTTGAACAAACCTGTTGAGATTCAGGTTGGTGGAAGGAGTGTCGTGAACAAAGATATAACCCAATTAGTTGAGGTGAGGCCAGAGGGTGAAAGGTTCTTTAGACTGTTGGAAATACTTGGAGAATGGTCCGAGATAGGGAAAATTCTGATATTTGTCCACACTCAGGATAAATGTGATGCTTTATTTAAGGACTTGTTAAAGCACGG